AAACATGTCAGAGATAAGAAAAATCGATAAAAGTTTGCCTTAAACCACAGGCGGGGTGTGAGTATGTGGGGACAGGGGGGGGGGGGTTATAGTAGTCATTGTCAGGGCCGGGGTAAGAGCGGAAGTGCGTGGGGGGAGTTGCACTGCTAGTCAACCTTCGACCACTGTAGGCGCGGAGCCTAAACGTGGTTCCTCTGTGCGCATAAGGTTGGCTTTCGTAACCTAATGGCGGCCGCTTCCTCTAACAGGCACTGGCCTAGTAGTTTAGGGTAGCTCGGTGGGACCTTACAAATCACACGAAAAACTTCGTTGGGGTCCACACGATGTCCGGAATCGACAACATGCGCGAGAATGGCGCTGCTTACACTCCTCGTTTCGCCTTTTCCCAGCCATGCCGAGAGGTGTTCGCGTATTCTCTTGGATAGGCGCCGACTCGTGCGACCAATATAACCTGCTCCACAGGAGCAAGTGAAGGAATATACGCCTTTGTGTGACGCTGGGGTAGGCGAGACCAGACAGGACCGTATAGTCTGCGCACGCACTCACGCACCGACAGATCGCTCATACTGATGTCGGCCAATCAGGTCGATAACGAGGGGTTTGCACACTGACGACTCTGAGCCAGGCTGCATTGAGACGGCGGTAGTTTGATTTCTTTTTGCGTAATTAAATATTCCACAAAAGACAGTAGCTAAGACAACTGAAAACAAGGAAAAAGAGTATACTCCTGCAACAAGCTCCTCTGACTCCCAAATGCCTTACCTTCATTGTCTTCGTGCCACTACAGCGGTGGCGAAATCTCATCTCTGGGCTCTTCAACAGATTATGAGGGGTTTCCTTTTTGGTATGAAACGTTATTTTCTGGACTTACTTGTTTCCAAATATCCTCGCCAATATTAATTATCTGGAGAATTTGCAACAGTCCTTTGTAATCGCGGTTGATAAAACAGTCAGTTTGAAGAGAGCCAGTGGCAGTCTTTCTGTGTTACAGCAGAGGAGAGCAACTACATCGGAGAAACTGTGAGATTACTCTGAACGCGGATGGCCGAGCACGCATCGGTTGTGAAGAGGAATGAGGTCAGCCATGTAGTCGCGGATCACTCGAAGGAACCTGGCCATTCTTCCGACCTCGACGCGATCGAGATCCTCGGGGTAATCACAACCGCGTGAGTCGCGACCCCCACAAGTCTCGGTTCTCCAGCCCGCAACGATGACGATAA